CAACTTACGGATTTCGATGAGAAGTATAAACAAATTGATATCTATGCCCAAAATAAGGCCAAGAAGTGGCTTGAGTCATATATTAAGGAAAAAAATAGAATAGATTCTAAAATAATAGCTAATCGTGGATATGCCTATAAACGTGCCTATAAAAAGGCAGTCAAGACCGCACAAGCTATATTACATCAGAATATAGGTAATACCTTTGAGATATTTCATGGAGAATGGCTAAACTTTGAAGACTTTAAGATAAGTGACCCTGTTTCGAGATTATAGGAAAAATTTATAGAGTATGTCAAAGCATATACTGTAAATGATAATCTTTTGATAGGTAAAGAGATAAAAAAGTCCATATGTTCTGATTTTATGAAACATCTAAATGTACTTATCCCAATTATCAAAAAATATGATGTTTTCTTTCATAAGTTAGTATATCATATGCGATATAAAGAGCATATAACAATTCTAGATAAAATTGGCTAACCGGAGACTATGAAAAAAAATGAAATGATTACTGAACAACCTACCTTATCTCATATATCGAAAACAGATCAACTAGCACTTGAGAGTTTTCTGAATACATGGAACAAGGCAGTCAGCTCACTATAAACATATCTTTATATTACCATCATATATATTTTTTGTACATAAATAATACTCAAGTTTAAATAAATAGTTTCTAATACCTAGTCCACGTATCCCATAGCTGATTATTTTTTTTATGACCCTTTAGAGTCGCTTCTTCGGCTTGTGGAGCAATGGCTCTTTGAGCCTACCTATATTCCATGTGCATCTTACAAACCACACAACTGCAATAATTAACAGAGCAAGAAAAATATATGCTGATAGCGGTAATATCAAAGTGCTTTCCACAGCAGGAAGAGGCAAAGCCTTGGGACCAGACCTTATCTGAGAATTCGATTCAATAAAAGCAAACATATGTGGTTTAGCACTAATTTCGCTAATTCTAGTTTTATCGCTTATCTTGGGGTTGATCTCAGTATCATTTTTTGGTAGTTCAGTAATCTCACCATCGATTTTTTCAGCTTGATCTGCGTACAAAATACTTATTTAGATTTTTGCTAAGTTCAATAACTGCAAATATATCATCAGACTTGGTCATATTTTTTTTATCATTTTCACCAAGTATAGGGTTTGATATAGCCCCCGATTTCAGACACTCAAGTTTACTGACTTTTGAAGCTAACTCATGTTCTACTTCAACTATTTTAGACTTGAGAGATAAAATCTCGGATTCTTTTTTCGGAGTCATTTTGAATTGAAATTACATCTTTCTGGGCTAAAGACAACTTACTTTCCAATATTTTGATCATAGACTCGAGTGATTTGATTTTCTTAGATTTTGTAACATTCTCAGCTTTGAATTCAGCAATAAAAATATCCTTTTGTGCGTTATGAGAAATAAAATTAGTATTTTCATTTTGTAGTTGCTTATATTCATTAATGACCTGCAAAGTGTGGGTGCGTAATTTTTGGATCTCAGTATTATTTCGTAATGAATTCCGATTCCACCCTTTTCTTTCCTGATCAAAAGCCTTCATTTGTTTTATGTATTTATCCTGTAATTTTTTGCTTAGTTTGTTAATTTCAGCTTTGGATTTGATAGCATTATGTATTTTTTTTTCTAGCTCTTCTTCACGTATACTACCAAGTCGATGACCTTTAATATTTTGAAATGTATATACACTAGCTATATGTGTTTTGAGACTAATCCCACTATTAAATAATAGATAATATATTAAAAATTGAATAAAGAGCAAAAAGTAAATAGTATCTCCAGTAAATATTATAGAGCTAGATCGACTTATTTATCTAAAGAGGCGATTAAAGAAATTAAGAACTCAGCAGGTAAAGGACCTAATATTATTTATACTATGGCAAAAAAGTACTATATATCCCCTTCTCGTGTTAAGGAGTATATAGAAAATCGAGAACGTAAACAACAAGTAGATTTTATACTTTCAAGTATATTATCTCAAAATTCTAGATTTATAGGCGATTCTCCAAGTCATAACTTTTGGAATAAAGAAATTGAAAGAATATATAATTTATATAGTGAACTTCCATATTAGTTTGCTAAATATATAATCAATAATTAATAAATGTATACAAACATTTCAGATTTTTATTTTTTCCTATAGATATATATCTCTATATCTTTAAATATGAAATATTTCAAACCATTCTGAGAAATTTGTAAATTTTTCTTTATATATTATTTATTATAAGAATAATCAATATTTCTAAACATTTTGAAACTTTTCTTTATATTTTAACAATAAAAATATTTTGATATGGGTCGTATTCATAAAAAATATTATAGTGCTAATGCAACTTAGATGAGGCGATCCAAGAAATTAAAGAATCAATAGGAGTAGTATCTGATGCAATAAATACAATGGCAAAAAAATATCGCATATCTCACTCTCGTGTTATTGATTATATAGAAAATCGAGAACGCCAACAACAAATTAATTCTCAATTACGAATTGACAGTGAGGTTTTATTGCAGAGCAACAGTTCTTCAAACCTACAACTGGAAGAGACGAAGTCTAAAGTTAAAAACTTATCTACTATTCCTCTCAATACAGAAATAAAAAAAAAAAGTTCCAAATCTCAGTCTAAATCTGTTCGTATATCTAATTCAATATCTACTAATAACTTTACAGAAAAAATAAGTAGTAAGGATCTGGGTGTATTATATGAAAAAGAAGCCAGAAGAGATGAGAAAAATAAAGCAAATATGACTCGCCTATTAGCTACTACTTAATCTATAATATTATCTCTGGTAGAGATATGTTCAAGTAGCTTTTCATAACGCATTTGCAACTTTTCACAAAGATCATTTATTTCAGCTTTAGACTTGAGAGTAGTATATAGCGATTTTTCTAACTCCTCATAACTTATGCATTTTTTTTTAGCACTTTTGGTGCTTGCTTTGCTAAAGTTAAATTGACAGAATCTAAGCTAAAATCTGCAGAAGCACACCACTCATAAAATGGTATACTGTCATCCTCATCCCTATCTATCTTCTGAGAAATTTGATCTGAAATCAAAGGCTTACTATCTTGAACTACATTTGTGCAATTTACCTCAAATTTATTCTTGACCTTATGCATAGTAACCAGAATGATGTGATCCTTTCCATTAAAAGGAATTTTCAGCTCATTTTTATCCCAATCCATAGCATATTTGTATTTCTTGAGAAGACAGTTTGAAAATATTAACATTGGCTTGGAATGTTTTACAACTACAAAATCTTCATATATAGTACAATTAGGGTTTAGTGTTATTGGTAGATTACAAACAATACCAATAGATTCAATTGGAACAGTAGCAATACCACTAAGGTCATACTTTACTGATCTATCAATTTTTTCATTTACATACTTAACAATATCATCTGTTACAATCTTAGTTTCAGCTCCACTATCAAGTATCATTGCTGGAATTTTCAAGCACTTAATTTTACATTCTACAGTTGCAACACTTGTAGCTGGCTTTTTTCTCTGAACTAAATCTATCTCCATAGGATTATTTAGCATTTCCTCTTCTCTATCTGAATCAGGTATTTCTGGGACTGGTTCTTGATAATTATTATTGCGAAGCAATGACCCTTCGGGCCTATTCTGAATAGATAGTAGTTTACTAAAATTGGGTTTAAGACTTTGTAACAAATATGGAGGTAATAGTTCTTTTAATATATCCATAACAATTTTACGAATTTCTTCTGGAGAGGTCTGCTTTGATTTGCAATATTTGGGTGAGTTAGAAACTCGAGATTTTGATCCCTCTTTCTTAGACTTAGATTTCTTGGAAATCTGCTTCTGGTTTACTTTTTTTTTGACTTAGTAATATTAACTTGCATACTCTCAGTTTCAGAGGAGGTATTATCAGAGTCGGATTCAGAATCAGAATCATTATTGGAAGAGCTATAATCAGAACCTGAATCGGAACTAGAATCATTGGTAGCCATATTAATCTTACCTTTTTTCTTGGATCTGCTTTTCTTTTTATTTTTCTTTCGAGAACAGCTACGAGAATTATGTCCTATCCTACCGCAATTTGAGCAATACCGCTGAGATTTTTTAACAGTTTTAGCAACAACATTAATGTTTTTGGCCATTTTTGCCATATTCAATGATATGTCTGCCATACCTTTTGTAATTTCATCAATGTCATCGGTATTTGGTATAATATTCTTTTTTATTTGTGGTTTTGGAGGTAAAGAAGGGGCCTGTATGGGGACAAATTTTGGAGTACTACCATAAAGCCATAGTAATAATCTATTAACATTTTCTTTATAAATTTTTTCAGATGTTCCTGCAAGTTGTGATCGAAATTGTGAAGAAATGGGTTGTGAGGTAGGTTGTTGGGATTGTACCAGAATTTGTTGGGTCTATAAGTCTAATTGAGATTTTACTACATTTTCTATGTCACTTATCATTATTCTACTATTGTCCAAATGCAGGTCGGTTTTTGGCTTCGTTATTTCTTTTGGTGTAATTGTCGATTGGGATGTAATTGGTAAAACTTGAGGGGTTTGATCAGGAATAGAGCCTCTATACAAATTCGAAGAACATTCTAACCACATATTTTTAAGTTCTGTAAAAAATGCATTAATGCCAGCAGGATTAGCGATTTTCATCCAAGTATAAAGCTCTCCTGATAAATGTCCTTTAAGTAGTCCTAAGATATTGAAATCATTATCAGCAACTCCTAATAAAAGAGGATGAATTCTAGCTTCATAAGTTTCTAGATTATCAAATGGTAAGAATTTTTCTTGTGCTAATCTTTGAATAGCAACTTGTTGTATTCCAACTGTTTCTGTCTGAAATTTATGACGCAACCAAACAATAAAACGAGCTGGAGTATCAATATTTGTACCTGCGGGGTATTGTGCAGGTATATTTGTATATTTTCCAGCCATCTTACTTTTTAAAATATCTGCTCGAAGTGCATTATTAAAGGTGGCTACCGTAATTGATAGTAAAGTTAATATTTGATTAATTCTTTGATACTATTCATTTGGTGGAATCTGTCCACTATAATTTGGAATTTCTGCAATTAATGGTGCAATGCTAGTTAAGTCTCCTGCAACTGTAGCCATATTTAGTGGATTATTATATAACAATAAAATTTGTGCTTGTAAATTATTTATTAATTGTTTAAAATTTTGAGCACAATTTTTTCACTTACTCCACTTACTGTCCAGTTGAACATCGGCAAGTAATAAATCATTTTCTAGAGTCTTGCATTTATTTTTTCATTTGCTGTATCGATTTTTTGTAAGATTTAAGAGGTGCGTAGTAATTGCTTCATCTGTCTTATATTCTTGTAGTTGCTGTTGTGTTCGTCTATTCTTAAATCCCAATGCAAATTTTTCTAGAAGC